GGGAGAAAGATATCGAGGTCCGGTTGGGACAGTCGTCTGAAATTGCATAATTTAAGATTCTAAAGGAAACATATGGGGGACTGTTGTCACAGGTTTAGCAATCCTGCGGACCCCAGCTGGTAACCCCTGCCCTGCCTTATGGGGTAGTGGAGATGGTCACCGGCTTCAAGGCGTATGAACCACCCATTGAAAAGGTAGAAAGGGCTCTCAGCTGTAGTGGAAGCAACCTGTCTAGGAGAGGAAACTCCGAAATCAAACCCCGGTCCTCCAGGTTGGGGGTTGAGTTATCGGACTAATTTCCCGATACTTCGAAAAAGAAAGACTGTTAAAAGACCCAAGAACAATTGCCTCGGTACAAACGGACTTTAACGGATTTATCGGAAAAAATTACGTAAACGGATGGTGGTTTTTGGAACATGGAACGTACAAGGAATTTCTACTAAAATGATGGAAGTGGTATCGGAGATAAGGAGTCACGGATTTGATGTCACAGTACTAACAGAAACGAAGAAGAAAGGGCAAGGTTCTGTAAGTGTAAAGGAATACGATTTGTTTGACAGTGGCGTGGAAAAATATCAGGGAGCTCAGCAGGGTGTTGCAAATCTTATTGGCAAGAGCCTACGGAAGTGCATCACTACTCGGGAAGCTGTTAACCCCCGAATGATGAAGATGAAGATGGCAGTGTTTGGCCATAGAATCACCATATTGGGAGTGTATGGAGTCAAAGATGATTCTACTGTTGCAGTGAAGGACCAATTTTTTGAAGAATTGAACGAGAAGATTGGCAAGATTGGTCCAGGAGGGAAATCATTGTGTTGGGAGATCTCAATGGTAGAACAGGACGTCAAGTTAAAAGTAAGATCGTCGGCCCTTTCGGAGAGGCGGCAATAAATGATAATGGAGCCCGTATCATTGACGCATGTGAGCAAAGGGAGATGAAGGTGCTCAATGGATTCTATCAACTCAAGGATATCCATGAAACTTGGGGAATAGAGGCTACTCGCGGGTTGAAGTCGATCATTAATTATATGGTTGTTAGACAAGACACGGGAATGAAGATTCAGCAAGTTAGTGTGTGGAGAGGTCTTTCCTGCGGCAGTGATCTTTATTTCATCGGGGCGAAAATAGCTTTCGCGGTGAAAAGGAGCCAGGAAAGGAGGCAAGCACAGGAACAGGTTCACTAACAAAAATATCGTGTCAAGCTTGTAAACTATAATTTTGACAGCTTGCAGCATCCAAGTGTAAGGGCATTATATGGAAAGCGCTTGGATAAGAAGTTTGGCGAATCAAGGCACGGTGATACTGAACAGCAGTATCAGTTCCTTCAAGATTGCATTCACTTGGCAGCAATGGAGGCTCTTGGTATTGCTGATGATAGAAAAGTTAGTGAAAAACCTTACTGGTGGGACAAAGAAATTGATAAGGAGATTCAGGAAAAACGGCAAAAATATCATCAGTTCCTTTCCTCTAAAAAAGCAGAAGACAAAGAGGCGTATAGAAAAGCTCAGACGCAGGTGCGAAGGCTCATAACTAAGAAAAAGAACGAATCTTGGGAGAGTAGCTGTAGCAAAATAGACACGTACATAAGAGGAAGGAAAAGTACTGAGAGCTGGAGGCTGCTGAAAGGACTGCGAAGGGACATGAAGGGGGACTTAATATCTCCGATATCCATTGATAAAATGGAGGGTTATTTTAAAAATTTACTGACAGAAAGGCGACCTGAATTTCTAGATGGAGGTGTAAGCTTGGAGCATACTAACGATAATAACTTGGAAATCCAGATGGAGGACGTGGTAGAGGCCGTACGAGAGCTGAAGAACGATATAGCTCCGGATCCGGGAAACGTTCCTGCAAAGTTGATCTAGTGTGGAACCTGCAAGCTGTTTCAGCGTTTGCGAGACCTGATGCAAGATTGCTTGGACGGTGGAAAGGTACCGACAGAATAGAAAGAGTCTTTGGTGTCACCTATGTACAAGACGAAGGGTAGAAAATATGAGAGTGATAACTAAAGAGGACTGCCGGTTGCAGGTGCCCTAAGCAAAGTGTATGGAAAAATTCTAAAAGCAAAAATCGAAGAGGAGTGGCAAGAACATGGAGCGGAAGAGCAAGCAGGTTTCAGAGCTGGTCGGTCAACGATTGATCACTTATTTACTATCATCCACGTGATCGAGAAAAAGAAGGGAGTAGGCCAGGAATTACATCTAGTGTTTGTGGATCTCCAGAAAGCTTACGATAGTGTGCCATTGATGAAACTTTGGGAAGCCTTTAACAAAAGGGGTTTTAGTGGGGGACTAGGTAATTAGTGCGATTAAAGAATTTTATGATGGGGCTTTTTCTAGGGTTAAATCACATAGGGAGTTATCGTTGGGGTTTTTAATTACTAAGGGACTTAGACAAGGATGTTGTTTGTCGCCAACCTTAATTAAAGTGTACCTTGAAGAAGTTTTAAAGGAATGGAAAAGATGCTGTTCAGGAATGGGCGTCCCGCTACGGGCACCCTTTATACTCTGTGCTTTGCTGATGATTAGGTGGTAATAGCTCAGGACAAAGACGATGCGAATTACATGACGCGGAAGTGAGTGGAAGTATACCGAAAGTGGGGAAGGGAAGTAAATGTGGTTAAAGACGGAAAAGTTAGCTATCGGTGGTGATCAGCAAAGCATTGAACTGGAGGATGGCCGGAGAATTCAGGATTTTGAAGAGTATAAATATCTGGGAGTTTGGTTAACTAAGGACAGAAATTTGGATCGGGCCATTAAAGATCGGAATGTGCAAGGCAGGAAAGCTATGGCGATGCTAAATGGGGTTCTGTGGGGCCAGAGTATCTCCAAGGAGACCAAAAGAATTTACAACGTAACGTCATCGTGAAGAGTATCGTAACTTACGGGAGTGAGGTCTGGCAACTCAAGAAAGGGAGTGAAGACATGTAGAGCAACTGAGATGGACTTTTGGCGGAGGTCTGCTGGCATTTCAAGAAGAGAGCGTATCCGCAACGAAAAAGTGCGCGAGATAATGAGTGTGGAGGACATCGTGCACGATATCAGGTCCAAGCAGTTGGTCTGATATGGACATGTGCGAAGGATGGCGGACGAGCGGTTGCCCAAGCAGGTTTTCGATTGGGTTCCTCCCGGAAGGCGACGGCTTGGACGTCCTGTGAAAGGTTGGCGACAAGGGGTGGAGGAGAAGATCAGAAGGTGCCAAGTGCCTGATGATCTCTGGGAGGATCGCCATTGCCCCCTATAGGAGGCAATGGCGATTGGGCGTCGCAGAGAGCGAGGCGGCGCTGTGAAAGCGACTTAATGTATGTATGTATGTAAGATTCTAAAGGTCAATATCCAGAAATCATATTTTCAAGTTAAGGTATGTGCTTTTTTCAGTTTTTGAGTCGAGAAATTTTTTTTTAAACAAAGAACACACAAAGTGCTCAATTTTTTATTTGAACCAAAACCAGTTTTTTAAATTGTTCCTCTTTTCCTGTTACCAACGAGTGGTCCATCAAGCTGGGGAACCAAAGGATTCTGAGGGCTATGGAAGATTGAAGTTTCCGCACAGTGCGCGCCGACTGGTCTCCAGTCTCCTATGGTTCCAAAGCCGGATTTGTGTGTTGATAAATCAGATTAAATGTTCAAACCGTGCAAAATAAGTTTTTAGGGATTCTTGAAGGTCGCTGAGTTCAGAAATTATAGATACCTCCAAAAAATTCACTTTTTTAAAATTACAGCTCTGTAGTGCTACTTTAGAGGCCCTCCGAGCGCCAACCGACCGGCCGCTCAGTGGGCTTCTAAAGTTGCGCTACGGAGAAAAAATGAATTTTTTTAAAGCATCTGTAACTTCTGAACTCAGCGACCCTCAAGAATCCCTAAAAACTTATTTTGTACGGTTTGAACATTTAATCTGATTTATTAACACACAAATCCGGCTTTGGAACCATAGTTTGGCGCGCGAAAACCCGGTCAGCGCGCATAGAGCGGAAACTTCAATCGGCCATAACCCTTGAATCCTTTGGCTCCCCAGCTTAATGGACTTCTTGTTGTATGCGGGAAAAGAGAAACAATCTAAAATACTGGTATTGGTTCAAATAAAAAAATTGAGTACTCTGTGTATTCTTTGTTTCAAAGAAATTCTCTCGTTTCAACAACTGAAAAGAAGCACATGTTAACTTGAAAATGTAATTTCCGGATTTTGATCTTCAGAATCTTAAATTATGCAATTTTAGACGATTTTTCGTCCAAACTGGACTTTTGATACCTATCTTCCTTCGAGAGATATCAAGGTTCACAGGTTTTGACTTCCTCCACCCCCCCCCCCCCCACA